GTTTTGCAGAGTACCCTTGTCCTTATATTGTTTACTACTGCTTCCATTCTCCTGTGGGTGCATTTGGTCACATGAGCACTCCTACCTGCTAGAGGGGTTTGGAGAGTGGGTTCTAGCTTTTTCCTTTGAAAGGCAGGACTCAGTGGTGGGTAGTTCAAGCTGTTGAAATGTGTTCAGTTAAAGCCAGTGGACAGAACCATGACCCATGAGCTTCAACTGACACAGAAACTTTGACAGTGTGGCCAGTCACCTGCATTTTAAACAAGCACAGCTGGCAATTCTTAGGCACACATCAAAATTAGCAAACCACTTTATACAGAGGCCAGATAGAGGAAAATGTGGATATAGCAGAGAGGACTTCAAGTCTTCATGAAGTTGAGGAGGGACTTCATGGGAGGGGAATGGTAGAAGGTGAAAGGGAAAGAGGCTTTAATGAGAGGGTGCAGTGTCAGAGGTGAAAGCCAGTCATTTCTAGGTGACTGTGATTCAGGGTCTGGACACAGAGCTGGGTGTCACTGTGAATTCACTATCATGAATATTGCTGCAAGGAACATAATAGTGCATGTGCCTTTTTGGTAGAATGATTTATTTTCTTTTGGATATTTACGCACTAATAGGATTGCTGGATCAAATGGTAGTTCTGTGTTTTTTGAGAAATCTCCAAACCGCTTTCCACAGTGGCTGAACTAACTTACATTCTCACCAACAGTGTATAAGCATCTCCTTTTCTTCCCGAGCCTAGCCAGCATCTGTTGTTTTTTGACTTTTCAATAATGGCTTTTCCTATTGGTATTTGATGGTGTCTTATTGTGGTTTTAATATGCATTTCTCTGATGATTAGTGGTTTGGAGCATTTTTTCATATGTTTGTTGATACCTGAATGTTTCCTTTCAAGAAGTTTGTATCTTTTGCTCATTTTTTAATGAGGTTATTTGTTTTTTGCTTGTTTAAATTCCTTATAGATTCTGGATATTAGGCCTTTGTTGGATGCACAGTTTTGCATAAATGTCTTAAAGAAATATTTTAGCACCTGATGGAGCCAGGGAGTAGAAATGCAGGTAGGTGGAAGCAGGGATGAGACAGGAATCTTCCTATTCATTCATTCATTCATTCATTCATTCTGTGTCCAGGCATTGCCCTTGGCAGTGGGGATGTATGACTAATGCTCTGTCTTATGTTTAGAATGCTCAGGTTTGGTTGCTTCAAGAAAACTTGAGTAAGAAGTCATTTGTTAAGCAGCGGTTGTAAAATTTTAGAAGTCGAGAAGCTTAAGTAAAGCATTTGAAATAAGCAGTGTCTAGTGTTGGCTTCAGAAAGGACAGGAGATGACCGATGGCTGGATGCCTCATAACTGCTCAGTCTCAGAGCTATGCTCAGGAGGCAGCACAGAGGCTGGGGGAGGGAATGTCCCATCTTATCATAAAAATGCTTTTCTAGCTTTGGAGAGGAATTTACCCTAAGGGACATTTCTAGGGGAAATTCAGGTCTTTCTCTGACACGGTCATCAGCTCTTTGAGCTGTGCACATTTAAAACGCTAAGGGTAAAACAGACAAAACCAACATATCCAGAATTAGGTTTTAGGTACCAAAAAATAGACATAGGCTCCAAACAAAATGAAACAGTCATTTAGAACTATTGATTTATAGAGCAAACAACTCTCTGGAGATTATATGCCTTAAATTGTACTTGAAATGGTAGAAAAATATAAATGTAGGTAATTCATAGGTTTTGAATATTTGTTATTTTAAGAATTATATTTTAATAGAAAAATAAAATCCTAAATCATGTCGTGTGATACATTATCTACAGCACAATAAGCCTGTTGTTTTGGCCCATGCATGCCTGGCTTTCCCAGATGGGCAGCATTGCTGCATATCTTGCAAATTCAGCATTAGGAAATTACAGTAAATGTCCTACATAACCAATGGTGCAACTAAGTTACCCTCACACATGACAGAAGCAGTTTGGCACACGTGACTGGAAGGTAGCTTCCAGCTGACTTGAGTTCCTTGTCCTTCACCTTGACCCTCTAGGGGCTTGGCAGCCCCTCCACTCTTCAGACACTCAGTTCTCCGGGTCTTTCCTTTCTAACCCCAGCACCACCTTCAAAATAGTGAAATTCAGTAAATTTACATTTGCTGATTGTGATTACAGTACTGGGTAAATGGATTTCAGTCAATGTTTTTATTTTCTGATCTTTAAATCTCTAACTGGGAAAGAAACCACTTGTGCTAGTTAAAAATCTCAGATTTATATGATCACATCTGGGATTAAGAACAACGAATCTCAGATTAACCACAGAGGAGAGTGAAGATTGGCTGTCCATGGAGTTCAGTGGATCTCTTCAGTTGCTCTTGAAATCTCAGCAAGTGAAATAAAGGGGACTGGCCCAGTTGGTGGCATCTTTCTTTGCAAGAAGGACATCCCCCTTCTCTGGCTTCATTCATAGCAGTTGGTTTTCCGAAGCCTTTTGTTTTGTTTTTAAAGCAGTGGAAGGCTTTCTTGAGTGAAACCTAAAGGGGACAAAAGAGTACGTGAAAGAGATGAAAGTGGCTGTGTTGGGGGAGCCTGAGTCCTCCCTCCTCCAACCACAGGATCCCTGAGAGAAGTCCTTCCTGAGGACGGTTTGGAAACCACACCATCATTAGTTTATCTGCAGTGTACTTCTTCCCGGCCACTCTTTTTATAACATGCCCTCTTCCCTTCCCTTCCTATGTACAGGATCTTCTCCCTAATACCACTCCCCACAATGATGCGTGTTTGTTGTTCCTGTCTTCTCTGATCATACTTTTGCTGTTCCCAGTGGTGGCAATACCTGTCCTGGGAGGCCTGCCCCGCACACTCCCCAGTATAGCGATGTTGCTGTTACCACGGGTAGCATGCCACCGGGTCAATCTTTAGCCTTCCATCAGCAAATTATTAGGATTTCAGAGCAAAGGGCAACAAGCACATAGGAAAGCTCCTGATGGACTCTGAGGGGTGTGGATGGGGTTGGGGTGGGGGGCGGCGCACAACCCCGAGGAGTGTGAACTTAGGATACCTCAGGCATGGGGATAGTGATGGACAGAAAAAGCCGTCTCTACTGAGGGAAAGAAATAAAGCCTGTCTCTTGCCAGCACATATGCGTTGGAGATGGAAATTAAACTGCAAATGATGCTGGAGAAAACTGCTGACAATAATGATGATTACAGCTGTTGAAGCAATAAAGCTGGAAAAAAGACAAAAAATTTGGTTTAACAGTGCAGAAAGAATACCAGCTTCTGTTACTTATATGAACTGCTTATTATTTAGCCTAATTACTATCATTTTAGCAATCATGCATACTATTAAATGTATCAGATTTATTTGTGTAAATTTTATTTGATTACAATGTTAGATTCCGTTCTTTGTCAGCTGAGTCATGATAGTCTGTACTTATGTTGACCGATCAATCTTACGTTTTACTTACTCTTTCTCTGCAAGTTCATAGGTTTCTCTTTCTTTTAGATGAATCTGACCTTTGTAAGATTAGCTCGTTAGCGTATCTTGTCACACTGAAGGCTGAGTGTTTTGTTATAAAAGACTGCTTATGTTGTCAGTAGAACAGGCAGGCATTAGAAGATAGCAATTCTTTTTCTAACTTATTCTGGGAAGCAGGTATTTCGATGTAAAATATTCTAGCATGCCTGCGTGGAGGCTACTGACAGTGCATCCTGGTTAGGATGAAGTGGGGACAGGAAGAGAGGCTATTGTGAAAACTCATACAATATAGAATAGCAGGAGCAAAGAGGCTCTCTGGAGAGGAACTGAGTGTTTTTTATGTGAAATTGTGGCTACATGAAACTTAGAAGACTCGAAATGGGAAACCTCAACATTTGTTGGTTTGTATTTTATGAGATGAGGTCAGAGGGAAGAATTTGGCTGCAGGGTGCTCCAGAGCAATTTGTACCTATTTGGAAGTTAACAGATGACATTAAAACTGCTAAAAGATGATCTGTAGTTTTGCTCCAACAGCCTTTTCCATCCTGTTCTCTCTAACAGTGAAATCATTGAATATAGCATTGCTTTGAAGGGATGTTAGTGATCATGCAGCTATTTTAATTCAGGGGGAGATACAGAGACTTCCTGATTCTTAGTTCTGTTTTGGGGTTAATGGAAGTGGTTTTCTATTCAAGATTCATTCCTGTTTCAATGGTATACATTAGAAAAGCTGCTAGTAAGAACACCTCCAGTAATGTCATATATTTGTTAATTTGGAGAACGAGTGTCTATTAGGCCAGGAATATCTCAGAAGTAGTTTTTCAGTTTTGTATGCCAAGGGGCCTGATATATGGTAAGTGCTCAGAATCAATGCTTTGAATTGTGTTTGCAAATTCCCTCTCTTAAGAAATGTCAGTAGGTAACAGTAATAGTAGCTAACATTTGTTGGTTGTATCTAATGCCTGACACTGCATATGATCCTTCACACAGGTGATTTCTCGGAATGGATACAACCACCTTGGGAGGCAGGCATTACTGTCCTTTTTACAGAGGTGGAAGCTTAGGCACAGAGAGGTTAAATGATTTTCCCAATAGACAGAAGCTGGGAATCAGTTCCCAGTCAATCTGACTGCTTATTTCATTAAGTACTGTGCTATTGTGTCCCCTATGTTGAAAATATTAAAATTAAAAATGGTATTAAAATATTTGAATAGTTAAATTGCAGTATTAAGTAATAATGACATGCAAACATTTTCCAAAGAATATTAAATTATTCGATATGTTACCCAAAAGCAAAAAGTTTTTAAAAAGAATTTGATTTTCTTTGGCTGATTTACCAAACATAGTAGGGTGACCGTATATATTATCATGGAAACTAAAAGTGAAAGGGGGTACTATTCATAATTTTGTGGTGGTAATAGGAATAAACTGTATTTTCCTGGCAACTAAGTTATGCCATCACCCTGCTGATTATTATTTGTTCTACTAGATCTTTGAGGCAAAAAATATTAAAACAATTCTTCACATTTTTTATTTGCAGGAGGATTCCTCAGTGTCAATGTAAGCGAAGTCAGTTTTGATGAAATTCATCAACTCTTCTCCAAGGATTTAGATATTGAGCCAGGGGGTCATTGGAGGCCAAAAGACTGTAAACCCAGATGGAAGGTGAGGTAAATTCTTTTCATAAGCAATTTGATTGTTACTATGCATTTGAGGAAAGAATGTGCTTGATTCAAAATACAGAGACAAATGTCTTTAAGTCTTGATAAATTTAAAACATCAGTATTTTTGTCTTTAATGTTTACTATTTATAATTCACATGTGATTTAAGTGTTAACGTGTGAAGACTGTAAATGCACCTGTGTAGATACAAAATAGATGCTCAGTTCATTCTCTTTGAGTTCCTGGTAATAAATACGTGACTTGAGTTTGGCTTGGAAAACAGATTTTTTCTGTTGTTCTGTTCTGTTTGGAAGAGAGGCTGTGAGTTCCCTGCCTCCTGCAGCTGTCCCTAATGATTACTGACACCTGCAAGCATAGCCTCACCAATTTCTGGAATCGTGAGAACTCACTCGGAGGATATTAATATCCTGATTTTCAGTTTGATCTGGCGTTGGGGTCTTCAAGCTGTGTTTCTCAGAATCCAAGATTATAAAGAGGCTGCTCAGAGATCACTGTGGGACTTGAAAAGTTGGACTTTGGGCTCTTCTTGGCTTCAGAAGGCACAGCCCAAGCTTTCAGTCTTTTTGGTATGTCAGAATTCTATTCAGTGTTTTGTTTGAAAAACTGTAAGGGGGTGGGTTTGCCTCTGCTGCTTTTGAAAAATTGGAAGCCATAATTTAAACCAGACTTGCCCTCAAAGCTGTGAAATTGGTTAATAAGTGCATATTCATCTAATGTTATTACATTTGAGTAAGAAATAACATTTGTGTAATTCCAATGAAGACTACAACTGATTAAATCAAATGTTATTTCCTGAAGAATTGTGATATAATCTTGATCTGGAGACAGTTTCAGTTTTCTCTTTTAAAACATTAGTATACTTCTAGAATATTTGTATGTTCACCTCCCCCACACAAAAAAAAACCCCACTGGTAGGAAGGAAAATCATATGTTGTTAAACTCATGAAAAAGACCCTCTGACTTCATCTACCATGAACTCTTTGTGTTTGAAGATGTGTATTATTTGTATCTGTATTCCCAACACAGAGCACATTGTCTTGTGTGAGTTAAGCACTAAACACAGTTTTGTTGAATTAACTCTATAAGGCAAATAAAAGCCTTTTTGGCCTTGTTACAAATGATTCAATAAATGGTCAGCTTTCTTATTGCCTTGAACAAGTTGTGAAGCTGCTTAAATGGATTCCAGTACCAATTTTAGCAAAACATTTTATTTTATAATTACCTTACACTATTTCTCAGATCAGATTCATTTAACAAATGAATCTCTTCATATGTCTTGATTGATTTTCCTCACATTTGTATCTATATGAAATGCGGCCCAATTTATGTACATTCCACCTTTTAAAAATAGCCTGGGCACATAAATTATTTTTAACATTTGGATATTGAGAGTGTATATTGAGTGCTAATAGAAAAAGAAGCACACTCAGTCACCGAGGCTGTGGGATAGCACGGAGGTTGATATTCAGATAGTTGTTTGTACAGGATATGGCACACCCCTCAGGTGTGCTCTACTAGTAGCATACTAGTAGAACAGTTTGGGATAGGAAAAGTGAAGTCTTCTTGTCCCGTTTCCAGTGATCTATACCAGATGGATTTTAAATTTTTTTGTTTTCTTCTCATTTTCCAGGAGACCGGTGTATCACACGAGTAGTTCCTACTTAGAGATATTAGTAGACTATAAACTACATATGACTCAGTAGGTAACAGTATTGAGAAGAGTCCCTGGAAAGAAACTAATTCAGGGATCTAAGGTTCATACCTGTAATCCCAGCACTTTGGGAGGCTGAGGTGGGCAGATCACTTGAGGCCAGGAGTTTGGGACCAGCCTGGCCAACATGGCAAAACCTCATCCCTACTAAAAATACAATGGTGGCACATCCCAGCTACTCAGGAGGCTGAGGTGTGAGATTTGCTTGAACCTGGGATGTGGAGGCTGCAGTGAGCCAAGATTGCAGCACTGCGCTCTAGCCTGGGTGAAAGAGCAAGACTGTCTCAAAATAAATTAACTTATTTTATTTAGGAACTATATGATAATGCTGCTTTTATTTCAACTTTTAGCAAACCCTTCTCAGAATATAGTCTGTAGTTCAGAATTACACAACTAAAGGTATGAAAGGAATTTTGGAGATTATTCAGAAGTGAGCTATATTCACATAAATATTATATAACTATCATCTCACTAAATACTTAGTTACACAGTTTCTCCCCCTACCCGTCCCTACCTGCTTACTGATAATGTTCCATTCTCATATTGGAACAGTAGAGAGAGAGGGAAGTAAGAAATGATTAGATTTATGTTAAACATCTGTCATCAACTTGATTCTTAATATTTGAGGCCCCTTTTTTAAATGAGAAAAATACCAGTGCAGTTAGTTGATGGCAAATTAAATAGAACTGAGATCTTTCAAAATGAGTAATTTCAGCTGGCCAACCTGGTGAGACCCTCGTCTCTCCTAAAAATACAAAAAATTAGCTGGGCGTGGTGATGCAGGCCTGTAATCCCAGCTATTCGGGAGGCTGAGACAGGAGAATTGCTTGAGTCCGTGAGGCAGAGGTTGCGGTGAGCCGAGATCGTGCCACTGCACTCCAGCCTGGGCAACAGAGTGAGACTCCGTCTCAAAAAACAAACAAACAAAAAACCAGTAGTAATTTCAGCAATTCCTAGATATTCCTGAATGCTGCAGGTTTGAGTAGAAGATTTCTGCACAGGTTGGACAGCTTATGGGGCAAGCTTATATCTAAAGAACATGAGGATGCTTTGCAGGTCATTAAAAGTGAAGCGTTTACCTGTGACATTGACTTTCCATTCAGATTTCAGATGGAGGGCTTGATGAACAACTTTGGTCTGTCACTTCCAGGCTTAAAGAACCAGGCAGCTGCTTGATGCTCTTGTCTACTCAGAGGCCTGGAGTTTCATTTGTAGTCCAATGTACCTCAGAGATGGGTCTTGGCCTCCCTGTTTCAGAACTACTTGAGGCATATGGTAAAAATGCTGATTTTTGGCCAGGTGTGGTAGTTCAAACCTGTAATCCCAGTGCTTTGGGAGACTGAGGCAGAAGGATCATTTGAGCCCAGGAGTTTGGTGCAGCTGTGATCACACCACTGTACTCCAGCCTGGGCTATGGAATGAAACCCCATCTCTAAAAGAAAAAAAAAAAATGCAGATTCTTGAACTCAGTCCTCAAACATACTGATTCTGTTGGTGGGAAGGAATAAGAACTTGCATGTTTAACCAAGTGCCTCCAGTTTGAGAATTGCTCCTGTAGGTACTGAAAATTGGGAAGAATAGGAAGATGGAACTAAAAACACTGAAGGAGAATGAGGGTTTACCAGCTTCTGCTTACTCAGTGGCAGATAGCTAGATTTACCTTAAGGTTCCCAAGCCTAAAGCCATGTCATTTAGGGACACCATAGCTGGTGGTGTGCTGAAAATTTGAAAGTAGGACAGAAACTTGGTGGGAGAAATTGATGTGATACACATTTTTCTTGATGATCTCCTCATGGTGGTGTATATAGGAGAAAATAAGCAAGGGAAAAAATGGTGCACATGTTCAGCAAGATTTGTGATTTTAAAGTAGGAGCAAACTGAATGGAATAATTTTGCTTGATCAAGAGGTGGTGAGGAGAGATTCAGGAGGATAAAGTGTTGTTTTATCAGAAGATAATGACCAGATGTTCTCAGTCTCCACTGGAGGTGTATCAACAAGAGAGTGGCTCAAACAGCAAATTAGGGCACATAGAAGAAAGAATGTCCCGAAACAGGCTATTAAGCCTTAAAATAAATGATCACAGAACAATGAGATATTTTCTAGACAAAAAATTGTAAACTATGCAGGACATTCTTCCACAAACACAAGAACTGATGTGCCAGATGAATTTTTAAGATATTGTTTAGCTTTACTTTAATAAAAGCTTTGCTTTAGATTTCTCACATATTCACAATCTTTAATAACCCTCTCATTAAAATTTGGACGTCTGTTTGCTGTTAGCGCAGTGGGTTAGCTTATTTGAATTTGCCAAGACACTGGTGATTTCTTTCTTTCATTACCGTCTCAGTATCCTTATAAGATTTTTTTAAAAAAAACCTCTTGATATTTAAATACTTCATTGAAGAGGTTATTGTATTGGGAGCTAGAACTTTACCTTTTATTTATCCTTATATGTTCAGCTCATCACTCCGTCTAATTGTCTTTAATTAATATGCACTGTCTTTAATCGGGCCTCTGTAGCCATTTAATAATTTCTTCCCTCAAATATCTATAATTGGCGTTAACTGCTTTTACAGCTCATTGACATTATGTCATAGGTGGCCAACTCGTGGCCAACTTCCAAATCAAGAAGGGCAGGCTTGACTTATGAAGCTATGTGTTATCACATGGATATGCTTTAGATAAGGTCAGTAGTGGGATATGTACTCACCATCTAACCCCTTTTATTCCTTTTACTTTTCATAGCACTTTCCTATCCTAAAAGCAAACCCCTGAGCTGGGTTGGCAGTTGTTTTGATTTGGGAATTCCTTGAATATGCCAGCCATTGGCACTGAAGCCCAGCAGTAAGTCCTGCCTCAGTATATAGTTCCAGTACAGTTGGCAGCCATTGTGCGGGGGCAGGAAGGAGGTCTTGGGTGTGTTGGGCGGGTGTTGCTGGGGTAGCCTCGTGGTCCTCAGGCTCCTGAGCCAAGAGAAACCTTTAAATGGGAGTGGAACCCGAAGTTGGGCTGGCAAGGGCACCAGACCTCTTTAGTTCGTACCATTTGCCAGACAGATATGCCGTAATTAATATAATCATGAAAACGTCAGCCTCATAGCAGCCATTGTCTCTCTTTTTTTTTTTTTTTTTTTGCTATCCCATCAGCATTAGGGGAAAATGAATGGTGGAGTTTGTAGTTTAGACATCTTCAATTTTGCTAAATCATTTTTTGTTCTCTTTATAAATGAAAATGTTTGAATAATTTAAAAATTTCTGCCATCTATGATCCTAGTAATGTAAAATACATGGTTAAGTATTATTTTCATTTGATGATGTCTAATATCAGGTCCTGATTTTAAAAGGATTAGGTGCACAACTTAGGCATTCTCAATTATTTGCATTTATTCATTTATTAATAAACTTTATTTGGTATAGATAAAATTTTAGTAAATCATAGATTTAATGTTCTTTCACAATATTCTGTTACAACCAGTTTAGATTGTATATTTTAAAAATCCAGATTATAGAGTGACACAGAGGTATTTTGGTTAGATATACTTTCACTGTTGTCTTTTTTTGAAAATCTAATGATTTGGAATTTATGATCTGTGGAAAACTTGCTTTAATTTCAGTTTTATTAGAAAATTCACTATAATAATAAAGCTAGCTCAGCTAGGAAGTTGCTGAGAAAAGTAATTTAGGAAACACTTCGGTTTTTCAAAGGCAAAATCTAAATTGTAGGGAGATATAGATTGTATGACAAAGTTTGGATCCAAGAAATGGAGAATTTGAATTAGTGATGATTGATGATTATTCGTTTATTCCTGTATTACATTAAAAAATTTTATATAGATGGTGTTTTTAAGTGTTGGGTTTGAGAATTACATTAGGTTTTTTATTTCATATTAGAAGAAAGATTAACATACTAGAACTATTTTCATTTCTATGTACGTGTTTTTTCTTTTACTTTTTGGGTGAGAACAAATTTCTTTGATTGATAAAGGACAAATTTCTGTGCTGCTTACATCATCTTTTCTTGTTATGGATTGTTGCCAACTTCATTTTAAACTGAATATTATCCTACCACTGAAATACATTTTAAAAATGTATCAAAAACTTAATTCTACATTTTGATTAAATGAAAAATATTATATTATCAAACTTCATGTGTATTTTGGGGCAATATCATGTATGAGTGAGGTTTTCTTGTATGCTATGGCTGGAACCCCATGTTTGAAGATTTTGGTTTCTATTATATTTCTGAAAATATCTCTAGGACAGAGAAACCATGTATAAGACAGTAGATATTCAAGTGAAATGTCTTTTAAATTCAATTCAAAATCCAGAAAGTTATTATTTAGGATCTACTCTAAAACCAAGAAGTTACTCTTACGATACATTCCCCTCCCTTACTTTTCATGCCCAGTTGATAGCCAAATCCTGCTAGCTTACCTCTTAGACGTGTTGAAAACCCATGTACTTCTCTTCTCCTTTATCCTCCTTTTAGTTTAAGCTACCGTGACCTCTTTTCTCAACAGTTGTATTAATTGCCTAACCAACTTTTTCGTCTTCTCCAATCTGCTCTCCGTACTGCCACCAAAGTAGTCTTTGCAGTCACCACATCTGATTTATCACTCTTTCAAAATCCTCCCACAATTTCTCGTGGTGTTCACAGGTTAAAGAGCACAATCCTTAGAAAAACCTTCAGAGCCTCTTCTACCTCTCAGCTTTATAAAGATGCATGCAGCAAGGACTTTTTCCGTGTTTGCTTAATGCTGTATCTCTGATGAGAAAATTTATAAGGGCGTGGCTTTAAAACCATGAGAAGTTTTCAAGGATTAATTTTTATACTGACCTCTAGGATGTGCTACTGTATTTATTTACATACATGGCTATTTTGTTTTAAAGGTGGCAGTTCTTATTCCCTTCCGTAATCGCCATGAACATCTTCCAATCTTTTTCTTACATTTGATTCCAATGCTCCAGAAGCAGCGGCTGGAATTTGCCTTTTATGTCATTGAACAGGTGAGAATACTTTTCACAGTGGTCACTAAGTATACTAGAGTCTAAACTCTTAGATATGGTTAGATTAAACATGTTAGTAGTTTAGGATTAATAAGGTAAGTCAAATTCTTTGTTTTATGCTTGGGTGAAATTACATTTTGGATTGGGCCTATATATTTCTTATAATAGTAATTTGGTCAAATGAGTTAATTAGCAATCATGTTTCACTTTAGTATGATAGCCTCGTTGTATTTTAATGACATTCTAAATATTGGATTGTCAATCTGTGGTTTTTAAAATAGCTATACAGCTGATACTTACCTTACAGAATTAAATGTGTCTTTGACGTGTAGTATTATTCCTTTTGATGTTTTCATTAGGCTTATGATCTTTATTTTTGAAAACCTCTGTAAAGTTTCATTTAATTGAGAAACTGCTTATTTTCTAATTTAGGCTACTTGGCAGCATTTAGACTCATGTACAGACATCTGGACTCATAACTAGTACAACTCAAAGTTCTTTTCTGAATTATACCGAAGCACCCTACAGTTACCTCAGCTATATTTGCAGTGTTTGATTTGAAAAAACATTTCAGTTTATGACTCCTGAATTTAACTACAGAAAAGGAAGGAAAGTTTTTTTTTCTTTTTTTAACTCAATAGCAAAGCATAGGTTATTCTCGATTGAGGATTTCTTTGTACTGTGGGGTAGTTGCTGGCTATCCCTGAAAATCAATATTGGATTAACTTTGTTAGGTAATCAGAGACACCTAAATGAGAGCCAGTTATTAAACCTAAAAACAAAAAGTAGTATACATTAAACATTTTCTGTCCTGTTTTCAGTTTTTCATTTTCAAAATCATCTTTTTTGGTAGAGGAACCTTGACTGTTTCTGTTGTAGGATATAGACCCAGCTCTACAGTTGGTAAGTAAATATGCATCCAGTGAGCTGACACGTCAAAAAAAAAAAAAAAAAAGCGTACATTACATGGAAGACTAAACGATGTGATGCCCAAGATCCCTTCCAAATTTGAGATTCTATGATTCTTTAAAAGAGATAACCAGGTGGAGAATGGAATTTTAAAATATTGTCAAAAAAAGCTTATTCCTTTTGTTTCTGAACAGAGGCTATCAAAGCTGAATGCATCATAATTCTTTAACATAGTTAATTCAAATAGTTGAAATGACCCTGACTTACTTTTTGTAGTCTTTGTTTAAAGGCTATAAAGTGTATATATAAAGAAAGAATTTGGCCTGGTGTGGTGGCTTATGCCTATAATCCCAGCACTTTGGGAGGCCGAGGCAGGTGGATCACAAAGTCAGGAGTTCAAGAACAGCTTGGCCAGGATGGTGAAACCTCATCTCTACTAAAAATACAAAAATTAGCCAGGCATGATGATGGGCACCTGTAATCTCAGCTACTTGGGAGACTGAAGCAGGAAATTGCTTGAACCCAGGAGGTGGAGGTGGCAGTGAGCCAAGATTACACCACTGCACTTCAGCCTGGGCGGCAGAGCGAGACTCCGTCTCAAAAAATTTAAACAAAAAAAAGAATGTAATTTTCTACATTATTTCTAAACATGGACAGAGTGATGTTTTGGAAACCTAAAAAAGATCCGATAACACCTGAAGACCAGTTCTCCATGCCAGCTTATTATCACTTTGGTATTGTCACCTCATATTTCACATTTAAGTGTATGTGATAGATGGTAATTTTCTGTTAATGTATATTGACCTTTCCAATTGCTTTACATCATTGCCAGCACTTGGTATGGTCAGTCTTTTTAATCTTAGCCATTTTAGTGGGTCTGTGGTAGTATCTTACTTCCCTGATTACTAATGTCAATCATCTTTTCATTCACTTATTTGCTACCTATAGGCCTTCTTCGCTGAAATTTCTGTTCAGCTCTTTTGCTCATTGTTCAATTGAGTTGTCTTTGTTTTACTGAGTTGTAAGAATTCTTTATATATTTTAAATACAAGTCTTTTGTAAGACATACGTTTTGCAAATATCTTGTAGTCTATGGCTTGCCTTTTTATTTTTTTGACTCTTTTGAAAAGCAAGTTTTAAATTTTGATGGAAGTCCAATTTATTGATTTTTGTTTTTATAGCTTGTGCTTTTTGTATTATATTTGAGAAATTGTTCTCTATGATTTTCTCATTCTTCCAGAAGCTTAATAGTTTTAAGCTTACACTTAGGCTAATCATTGAGTTAATCTTTAGATATGATATGAGCCAAGAGTGAAGTTTCATGTAGTTGTTTCATCACCACTTGTTGAAAAGACTGTTTTTACCATTGAATTGCTTTAGCACCTTTGTTGAAAATCACTTAACATATACACGTCATATGTATGCAGGTCTGTTTCTGGTCTCTGCGTTCCATTGACTCTGCTTGTCAGTTTCTACTAAAAAGTCCGCTAGGCTTTATTTCCTTAGTTTTCAATAGATAAGTAACAGTATAAATGATAGACAAAGTTACCTGGCTTGTATTATTAGATACTTTTATCTTTTCTTTTGGTAGAAAATACTCAAAAAAATTTTTGTTTTTAAGATGGAGTCTCCCTCTGTCGCCCAGGCTGGAGTGCAATAGCGCAGTCTTGGCTCACTGCAACCTCTGCCTCCCAGGTTCAAGTGATTCTCCTGCCTTAGCCTCCCGAGTAGCTGGGATTACAGGCACTCACCATCATGTCTGGCTAATTTTTGGAAAAAAATTTTTTATTCCTAAGATGGTTATAGTGTCTCCAGTTCCTTTATTCTAAATCTGCCTATTTTTTTTTTTTTTTTTTTTAGTTTCTCACTCTTAGCTTTTTACCTCTGCTTTTTCTCCATGGAAATGCTTGGTATTTAATATAACATACCATACTTCTGTGTGTGTAAATCATCCTTTAAGTTTTGTGCCTTATGTACTTTTTAATGTAATAGTCTATACTGTGAAATGTGACTTTTTTTTACCTAACAAGTGAAAATTTTTATCTGCTTTCATGGTAGCTGTGGTTGTAGATTTGTACATCAGTTTTACTGATCTAGGAAAGTGCTGGTTTCCTTTGTGTAAACTTCAATTCCGCATAATGTATGGAGAGGTGAGAGAGCTGTCTCTGTGGTTTGTTTGCTGATTTGTTTGTTTGAAGACGGAGTCTCGCTCTGTTGCCAGGCTGAAGTGCAGTGGCGCGATCTTGGCTCACTGCGACCTCTACCTCCTGGGTTCAAGTGATTCTCATGCCTCAGCCTCCCAAGTAACTGGGACTATAGGCATGTGTCACCACACCCAGCTAATTTTTGTATTTTTAGTAGAGAGAGGGTTTCTCCATGTTGCCAGGATGGTCTCGATCTCCTGACCTCATGATCCACCTGCCTCAGCCTCCCAAAGTGCTGGGACTACAAGCATGAGTCACTGTGGCCTGTCTCTGTTTTTAAAGGCATATTATTCTGAGAGTTGACTGGTTATTTGGTGTATATGATGAAGCAATCTTTGCAAGGCAACTAAGGTCTGCGTTTTTATTTTCAAACCTTTTAAGTCTGAGTCTCAGGTTTGATCAGTATTAATTCAGGACCGTGTATTTGATGGAGTGAGGTTTGGAGCTAGAAACATCTTCACCATATTTGAAATAGAAAAGTAATTTTTCTGCTAGACAGGTACCCGGGGAGTGCTAAGCAACTGAAGAGCAGCTCAGGAATTCTAGTTAAATATGGAGGATGGACATGGGTTCACTACTTCTTTCCAAACTCCTAAAATGAGAGTGAAAGAAAAAAAACTTTTGAAAAGTTATTAAACCTCAAGGACAGAAAGTCGTGGGTGAGAGATTTTCACACGTTTCTGTTAAGTCAGGAAGCAGATGGAGTGCTGATGCCTAGCAGAACAGAGGATGTGCAAACCCACGTGCTTGTAGAGGGTGATGTGACAAGACTAGAGTCAATTTGCTGGACACACCTCTGTCTCAGTGCTGTCACTGAAGGTAGGCTGAAGCACTGCACTAAAGTAAGGAGATTGTTTAAAAGTTTGACTACAAAACAGCCACATTCCCAGTTGCTCATCTTTACTTGTACTGCCAAGTGATTACTCTGTTGTATCTTGTAGCAACTTTTTCCAGTTGATCCTGTGGAAAAAGTGTAGCAGGAAGCTCCTGAGAGTGCTGACGCAGCTGTGTGGTAGGGCCTGAAACCAGGGGGATTGAGTAAGTCTGCATGCTGATCTTAGGGACCCCAGGCCTTCCCTGTCTGGCCTTTTGAAGCCAACAGCCAGGTGTGAATCCCCCCACCCCTCAAGCTGTGGCAGGGCATAGTGGTGTCTTCGCTAGAGAAATAAATTATCTCCAGGAAAAAGAGTCCAAATCTGATATTAGAAGGTCTCTAAAGGAAAAGGCCAGCCTGTCACTTTATCAGCTCCCTGCAGCCCAGTTTCATTCATTCAACAAAAGGAATATGGCAGTGAACAAACCAGACAAGGTCCCTTCTTTTGCTGGCCCAGAAGGACGGGCAGTAGTAAATCATTGTGCAGTATCTCCATGGCACTCAGGGCAGAGGGTGGTAAGGGTGGGTAGAGGTGCTCTTTTTTGCAGAGCATTTGGAGAAGACCTCTCTGGGGAGGTGAGATCAGAGCATCCTGGAATGATGTAGAGGAGAACGCCATGCTCATGTAGAGGCTGTGCACTCTGGAGAAGGCAGGAGAATACTTGGTGTGTTTGAGCAAAGAGGTCGGTGTTGCCAGAGCATCAGCTGAGGAACATTCCGGGGAGGAAATCAGAGAAGCAAATAAGGAAGTGCAGGGTGAGGGCTTGGATTATCCTGTGTCAGGTAGATTAAGTCATTCCTTTATGTAAAACCTTCAGAAGACACTGGATAAAGTGATGTTTTAGAAACCTAAAGAAAGTCTGGTAACACTTGAAGACCAGTTCTCCATGCCAGCTTGTACCACTTTTGGTATTGTTACCTCATATTTCACATTGAGATGTATGTGATAGGTGGTAGTTTTGTATTAATGTATACTGACCTAATGTAAGTCTCTCCTCCACTTAAAACCCTCCACTGCCTTCTGGAATGTCTTAAGTAGAGGAGCAACTTAATCTAAGTTTACAAAATGACTCTGGCTACTGTGTTAAGAATAATAGCTGTAGAGGGACATGGCTAACGCAAGGAGAGCATCAGACAGCTTTAGCAGTTGTCCGGGTAGGAGATGGTTACCATTTGGGCAGCTGTGGTCGTGGAGGAGGTGGTGAGCAGTGGTTGGGTTTCGGCCACCTTGGGTTTTAAAGTGGTATGAGTTGCTGATGAATTGGGTATGTAGCCTGAGTGATGGAGAAAAGTCAAACATGATGCCAGGGTTTTTTGTCCTGAATAACGAAAGGCATTGCTGCTTCCTGAGCCGTGCCTACTTTTGTTTGTTGTTTCAGTTTGGTTCAGGGATGTGTGTGTGTCTGTGCTTATATGGGTCAAGAGTGGTTTGCAATAATACTTGCATATGTATTCCTCTTGATACGGGAGGTGGGCAGGGAAGTGCTTGGTAGAGAAGGGTGGGTTCCTGGTGAAGGCTTCACTGCTGGGCCTGTCCCGTGGACCTAGGTGAGGACAAGCATTTCTGTTTTCATGCCCAATTGTTGCATTTCCCAAGACCACCCTGGCCTATCATGCCCCCATCCTATAAAAGCCCCCGAGATCCTGGCAGGAAGAGACACAAGCAGGTGGATGTCGAGAGGAACACACCAGCGGAAGAGCATACCACACCGGCAGACGCCGGCAGGCCATCGACTGGTGGAACAACACCAAGTTTGACCAGGGCTGTTGGAGGAGAGCCCGGCCTCTGAGCAGCCCAACTCCAGGGGAAAACCACCTTCCCGCTCCATCTCCCTCTGGCTCCCCATTCATCTGCTGAGAGCTACTTCCACTCAATAAAACCTTGCACTCGTTCTCCAAGCACCCACGTGATCTGATTCTTCCAGTACACCAAGGCAAGATATGGGATACAGGAAGCCCTCTGTCCTTGTGATAAGGCAGACAGTGTAACTGAGCTGATAAACACAAGCCACCTATGGACGGCTAAACTGAAAGAACATACTGTATGTAACACAGGCCCACCGAGGCTTCAGCTGTAAACATTCACCCCTAGACACTGCCATGGGCTCAGAGCCCCACAACCTGCCCGTCTGCCTGTTTCCCCTAGAGGTTTGAGTAGCAGGGCACTGAAGAAGCGAGCCACACCCCCATCGTATACCCTGCGAGGGGCATAAGGGAACTTTTCCCATTTCACCCTCACCTGTTGAGTGCCTTATTCTCCAACATGATTGGGCAAGTCAAGGATCCCCAGATATCTGAAGAAATCCTCCACAGGAGGAGACAAATGCAAGCCAAAAAGAAAGTGTAGAAAATACAGATAATGGAGGAAGCAGAGGAAATCTTGAAAAAGAACAAAATCTCACCATAGGATCTATAATGAGGGAAGGAAAGATAATCTATGGAACAGAAATAATATATCATGAAGAATAATCGGAGAATAAGAAAGTTATTGAAAAAATGAAAATAACTAAAACAAAACTTTCAATAGAATGGCTGGAAGATGAAATAACTCCCCCAAATAGAACCAAAGCTAAGAAAATAAAAGAATCTATCTAAGAGTACCAGTATGTCATGGAAGTAACCACCCTCTAAGGTGGCCCCCAGGGGTCTTTGCCTCCTTGTAATCAGACCCGGTGTAGTCTCTTCCCACAGCGAATAAGGACTGCTTTGCACGGGGAGCCGCATACTGTGGGAGGGACAGTACATGGCTTTTGAGGCTAGGTCATAAAAGATGTTGCTGCTTCTGCCTTGATCTCTTGGATCAGTTGCTGTTGGGGAAGGCTGCTGCCCTGTCATATGGATGCCCAAGCAGCCCTGTGGAGAAGAGCCGGCTTGCCAGCACCATCTCACAGCCACGCGAGTGAGTCACCTTGGAAGTGGATCCTTCTGCCCCTAATCAAGCCTTCCAACGTGTCCAGCTGCCCAGCCTTTAGTCTTCCAGCTGAGGCCCTGAACTTAATGGAGCAGAGTTGAGGCATCTCCACGCTGCTCCCAGAATTCCCTCTCCCCAGAAGCCATCAGCATGATAAATGATTATTTCATTCATTCATTCATTCATTCATTCGACAGGGTCTCTCTCTGTTGTCCAGGCTGGAGTACAGTGATGCAATCTCGACTCACTGCAGCCTTGACCTCCCAGGCTCAAGCTGTCTTCCCACCTCAGCTTCCTGAGTAGCTGGGACTATAGGCACATGCCACCATGCCTGGCTAAATTTTGTATTTTTTGTAGAGTTGGAGTTTCACCATGTTGCCCAGGCTGAGACTATTACTTTTTTAAGCCACTAAATTTTGCTATGATTTGTTACACATCAGTAGATAGTTAATAACATTCACTAATCAAGGTACTGTAAAAAAATACAGCAGAAAAAATTTGAGGGGAGCGAGAGACAAATGACCACAGACCATGAGAAAATTTCCCCAAAGTGAGGGTGGGAATCTTTAGATTAAAGGGGCCCCACGTGCACACATGAGTAAGATACAAATCTGCCTTGAAATGTATTATTTTAAAATTTTAGAATACAAATGGAAAATAAGATATTACAAAAGTTTTAGAATGCTGGGAATTCTAGGAAAAATGATAAATGATTATGAATCAGAAACCTATGAACATTCTCAGCAATACTGGAAAATTTTTTTTCCCTGGAATTTTTTACCCAGTCAAAATGACAAATGTGAGAGTCGACTAATGGCATTTTCAGTCATTAATTGGCTAAAAACGTATTCTCCATGGGTCTTTACTTAGGAAGCTCCCGAAGAATGTGCCTCAGCAAATTGAGAAAGCCAAGGAAAAGGCGTGGGTGATTTAGGGCGTGAAGACGACCCAGCTGATAGTCACACATGGTCTGGGGAGGGCAAGGGAGAGTTGGGCCTGAGAGATGGAGAAGGAATTGATAGATGATTTGATGTGTTTGAATGATTACAGCAATTATTAATAGGTGTAGGGCGTATTTCTTGGGCCTTTTGTACAAAGTAATAATATAGTAGTTATATAGAAAACTATAGTTACTCCCAGTTTGCAAAAGAAAACAGAATCAATTTATTCATCACTGAAGAAATATTAAATATTTACATAGTCCTAATAATGTAAATTCTTGATTTAACCAAAAATTATGTTAAAACTGTATTGGGAGAATAGAGGTAGGGGCAAGAGGTGTGGTGGTTTAAGTCCTCCACTACCATGATAAGAAGTCAAGAGACAGTGTGTAAAGTGAAAGAAGCAAGAAATATCAGGACTCTTAATTTCCTCAAAATATGTAGATAAATACCAGAATAAACGGGAAGAGTTGAAATGTATTGCTCCTGGGGGATGGAGATGGATTAGATATGGAACTTTTTATTTCTGTTATAAGCCTTTGAGTGTTATGTCCATGTTTAATAAAAACGATTTTTAAAACCTTAAAGGAAAGTAGTTTGTTAAAGCGGATGTTGATGTACTAGTCATAACATTATAATTTAACTCCCTTTTCTTTTTATTCTATTTCACTGGTGAAAAAAGAGGCTGTAAAAAATAGTGACTTCTATTATCTCAAGTTAGTGCAAGGCCTAGGACTAAAAATTAGTAATTTTTCACTCTTGAGGCAGCGCTCTGATGATGACTACAATGTGTGTCTCATTCACTTCTGTAATGATCCTTTTTTTAATATATTTTAGAAATGGTTTTGATAAATGTTGCTAAGACATTGGTAAATGCTCTTTAATTTTCTTTAGATGCAGAATGAAGGTTTTTTATTGCCAGTGCACCTTAATATATGTTCACTGATAAATAAAGGACAATGGTTGTAATATAGGGAGTTGGGTTCTGTATAATAAAATTCTATTTTTCGTCCCTTAAAATGCCCTTAATCTTTATCATAAGCAATAATAGAAACTATTTATTGCCCATGTACTTTAATGTATTTTCTGTAATAATAAAGGAAAATGGTTGTAATAAAGGAAGTTGGGCTTTGTGTAATAAGTTCCAATTGTTTTTTCTCTAAAATGCTCTTGGTATTTATTATAAGCATTAATGATAGAAAGTTAGACCTCCCTGGTGTTAGTACTTTAGAGAAGGGTCACTGTTGAGTCATTTCCACTTTTCTCTTAGTCTTGACAGCATATGGCAAGCTCCACTAAAAAAATAAAACCTATATTATTTTTAATGACTTTTTTTTCTCGCCACAAGTAATCTATATCCTGATGTGTTTGAAGTAGAGCAGAAATATCAGTTATATAAATGTACTAATGATGTACTAATGGACTATACACTGTTTTCTTCTATGTTGTTAAATTATAAAATAATATAGTAAGTAAATTTAAACAGTATATTTGAAAATCCTGAAGTGTGTTTATTATTTGTCTATTTCATTTGGGTCTAATTATTGTAATCATTTGACCATAATGCAACAAGTTTGAAAAATAATAGAAAAAAGTCAGATGGGGGCCTGGTGCGGTGGCTCACGTCTGTAATCCCAGCACTTTGGGAGGCCAAGGTGGGTGGATCATGAGGTCAGTAGTTGGAGACCAGACTGGCCAACATGTTGAAACCCTGTCTCTAGTAAAAAGAAAAAAAAAAGAAAAGAAAAAAAGTCAGATGATGAAGTGTGAGTACATTTCTATTTTCTTCTCTCGGTCTGCTCCATGAAGACTGGCACACAACCTTTTAACCGTGCAATGCTCTTCAATGTGGGCTTCAAAGAGGCCATGAAAGACAGTGTCTGGGACTGTGTAATCTTCCACGATGTGGATCATCTACCTGAAAACGACCGAAACTATTATGGATGTGGAGAAATGCCACGTCATTTTGCTGCAAAGCTGGATAAATACATGTATATGTAAGTAGTGTGCACCATTCCTGATATTATACGATGTAATTGCACAGTCATAGCATTGAAATGGTAGCTGCATTATGTCCCTAAATCTGAGAGAACTCAAGAACCCCAAGAATATCATCTTTAACTCTATCATGTCCTCCTGGGGAGCCAGGACACAGAGTGGCTTTTCGTTCCCGTGGGTGCTTCCTTACACAGAAGTTTGAATGTGGTGTGGTGGGAAAGAGAGCCTGGTTTCTGCAGTGAAACACACACAGATTTAAACTTGGGTTCTCACACTTACAGTTCCAGGACTTACAGGTTAGTCACTTGCATCTCTGAAGGTATATTCCTTGTTCACTGATAATAGATCCCATCCATATTGCTGCTGTGAGATCACATGTGCTCTGTGCCTGCTGTGTGGTAGGTGCATAACTCATCTTGACTCCTGTCTGCTCTCCCCCAGTGATGGTTTGGAGGGCCACAAAGTGCTGTTTATCTTCTTCCTAAACTATGCATTCTTGACCTGCCCCTTCATAATAAGAAAACCAAATCTTTTCCTTCTCTAATTGGAGATAATTTAAAATGTGAACAGTTACCAGAGCTGAGATAGTAACTTAAAAGGACATGAAAGAATGCAGGTCTAACCTGGGGAAAGGATCACAGTTTTCATTGGCTAATGGGAGTGGAGAGAAAAGAAAGCTTTTTGTTGCTTAGGGCAGGAAGATGTTGCCTGTGTCACAGTTTTGCCTAGTGCTAATCAACAGAGTAGAGAGAAGCAAAAAGTCTGACACAAGCAGGAAAATAATGCTTGCTTCTTTCTTCTTCCTCTTCCTCCTCCCCACTCCCGCTCCCCTCCTTCCCCCTCCCTGCTTCTTCCTCTTTCTTCCTTCCTTCCTGCTGCTCCTTCTCCACCTCCTCCTCCTCCCTTTTTTTTTTTTTTTTTTTTTTTTTGCTAGTCATTGTTAACATTACTGGACGGTTTTCTTTATTACCTCTGTATCTGAACTTTGAGTATGGGGTTACCTTGAAGAAGGCCATCAAGGTTCACAATCTGGTTCTTATCACTTCTGGAAACTTGATTTTGGTCAGTTTGCTAGAATCCAATTAGATACAGGATAACTGATTTTCACACACACACAAAAAACCATAAAGGTCATATAAACTAGGAATTCTAAATTAATTCATTGTTAAATTCTAAATTAATTTGTTTTTTGTCTAAATAATTTGTTGTTAAGTTGTAAATGTCAATTTCTAATAAACACAGTTGACCCTTGAGTAATGCAAGGGTTAGAGTGGTGACTGCCCCCCTCCCCCACCAGAATGCAGCTGAAAATCTAGTATAACTTTTTACTCCCCAAAAGCTTAACTACTAATAGCCTACTGTTAACCAAAAGCCTTATCAATAATGTAAACAATTGAGTAACACGTATTTTGTATGTTGTGTGTACTGTATACCACATTACCGTAAAGTAAGCTAGAGAGATGATGTTATTAAGAAAATCATAAAGAAGGGAAAATATATTTACTGTCCATTAAGTGGAAGTGGATCATCCTAAAGGTCTTCATCCTCATCGTCCTCATGTGGAGTAGGCTAACGAAGAGGAGGGGTTGGTCTTGGGGTCCCAAGGGTGGCAGGGTGAAAGAGTTGAAGATGGAAAAGGAGGCAGGAGAGGCACATTCAATGTAACTTTTATTGAAAAAAAAATTGTGTATCAGTGGACTTGTGCAGCTCAAACCTGTGGTGTTCAAGGGTCAGCTGTATTCATATCCATCTAGACTAGTCCCTGGATTGGTTAGGCATCTTGGACGTTTGGATAGTAATTAGAATGTAGCTCAGGGAGAATGGCAGTAGATCAAGGCCTGGGCTGGACAGTGCATAGACTTCAGCTGTGGGATGAAGCCTGGTGAAGCATCCCTGCCCCACAGTGGTGGCCACACTGCTGCTGACCAGAGAACTCAGACCCTCAGGTGTGGTGTCTCTCCCACTTTGGACAGTGTAAGATAAACACTGCAAGAGTTTGACTTGTTGGATTTCGTTTTCTCTTCTTTAGTTTATCTGTTATACCTTCATTTTACCTAATAACTTTCCATTCTTTGTATAGTACAATTGATTATTTCCACTTAGAGCAGTAAATGGAATTGATAGGCTTGCTGATTTATACATGTCAGTAAACACACAAACACATTTATTCATGTCTCCCTATCTGACGATCTCAGGTTTTTCCTAAACTACTAGCCTGGGCAAGAATAATCCATCTGATGTGGGAAGTACATGGTGCCAAGAAAGCGTATTGGCCCTGTGGAACCCCCAGCTAGTCTTACTAAAATACCAGAACACTAAGCTCCCAAGAGTGAGCCTTGAGAGGTCTCAGGAGAGTATGGTTGTCTTTAGGATACCAGTGTTGCTATTACCATCTTGGAGTACCTTTGACCTAGGGTGAGGGCAAGACTGCTTTCTCCTACAACCCTAGGCTTCCATGAAGGAACTACTGTTCCTTGGTCTGTGTGCCACACAAGACCTCAGCTGGCAGACAGCACGTCCTTCTCAGAATGTGAGGCGAGTCTCTTAACGAAAAGCTCCCTCCTCTGAGACAGCTTTGCTGTGGTCACAGCCAGGTTTCCCTCAGCTTGATTTTTGGGTGCTGTGCATGGTCACGTTTTCTCTGCTCTGACATCTGCTCCCCAGGGGCATGTTTCAGTCCACGGGAATGTATTCAGGATTGCAGGTCTAGGGACGCTGCCTAAACGTCAGAAAGCCAATCTATACCTAAACACACAGTTTAGCTGAGTAAAAATAAAGTTTAGAAAAGTTTAAACACATTGCATCGTTTGACACATTCCTTGGAATATGAGTTAGGGAAGGGTAAGGAAAATAAAATCCAAATAAAAATATAGTTATTTCTGTAAATATCAGTGCATTGAAAATGAATATATTTGTAAATATCCGTAAATATTTTGAGAGTATAATCCTGACAGATAAGATCATTATAAAAGTAGGCAACTAGAAAATTAAATGCTAGAGTTGTCTTTTGTAATTGATATTTATCCTGCTTTATATAATAAATAATGCATTTATAATTCAGTTAATTTTTTAAGTGTTACTAATTTAGGAACATCTGACATGCATTGACCATTATTAACATACTTAATCATGTTTACTTTTGTTGTCAAAATATACAATTTTGGGGCACTGGGTTTTGAGCCTTACAGGTTTTGTTTTGAGTCTTATTTGTATACTAAATATTAAATTTAGGTTTCCATAAGTGCTTTACGTTTAACATAACACATTTACATGTACTTGTGTCACTAGAATATAAACATGTTTTGTATCTTGCTGTACTTCACATTTTCTAACATAATTGTCTATATAGAATATAAAGGCATATTTTGCAAAGCACACAAAAGACTGAAACCTTCATTTCACATGGGAAACTATTATGATTTTATTTTTAGAATACTGTATCTTTCTTTTCTAGTCTTCCATATAAAGAATTTTTTGGTGGTGTAAGTGGGCTGACAGTGGAACAATTTAGAAAGATCAATGGTTTTCCTAATGCCTTCTGGGGATGGGGAGGAGAAGATGATGACCTTTGGAACAGGTATGTTGAGGTACAAATTGTTCACTAATAGAATTTTTATAAATCTTATTTATATTAGGTAAATTGTAATACTTATCTATTCCAAGAAGATTCTTCGGGATGGGAAATGTTTGAGGTTTCTAAACCCTATTTTGTGTTTCTCCTTTTTTTCATTAAGACTGCTTTCTGAAATTACTGGCAACATATAGATTAGAGCAGCAGTCCCCAACTTTTTTGGCACCAGGGACCAGTCTCCTGGAAGACAATTTTTCCATGGACCCGGGAGGATGGTTTCAGGAGAAAACTGTTCCACCTCAGATCATCAGGCATTAGATTCTCATAAGGAGCACGCAAACTAGATCCCTCACGTGTGCATTTACAATAGGGTTTGTGTTCCTCTGAAAATCTAATGCCATTCGGTGGTCTGACAGGAGGTGGAGCTCAGGCAGTAATGATTGCTCACCTCCTGCTGTGTGGCCCAGTTTTCAGCAGGCCATAGACCTATACTGGTTTGTGGCCTAGGGATTGGGGAACCCTAGATTAGAGCATTCTTTTGTGTTTTAAAATTGAACTCACATAACCCATTTTCATATTTTATTTCCCTGTATTTTCATTTCCATATATGGTATTGTAGAGTTCACTATGCTGGATATAATGTAACCAGACCAGAGGGAGACTTAGGAAAATACAAGTCAATTCCTCATCACCATAGAGGTGAAGTCCAGTTTTTAGGACGGTAAGTTGAATGTTATCTTCAGATACCATGGTTTCCAAAGCTGCTGAATATATGAAAGGTAAATAAAAATGCATTGAACCCCAAAAAAGCTGCTGAAGGGAATTTTCATAATGGAAGGAAAGTATTTTTTGCTGAAGGGAATCTTTACAGAAGGAAGCATTTTTGGTGCTTGTTTTGAAGAGATATGTATGTATTAATAAATATATATATTTACGTTAAAGAGCCTGGTTAACTATGTAAAAGTACGTAACAAAACGTAATGTTTCATTTACTAAAAATGTCTAATTGTAAAAGTGCAAAATAATGTTTTCAGGTGGCATTTTTTGGGTAGTAAAATTGCTAATTTAGAATAATGGTTTAGAGATTCTTAAATTATGCACAAGAACCAGAAATTGTAAAGAGCATTAAGTGCTTTAATTATAAGATGACCTTGAACACAGTCCTTATCAGTTTTCCTTTTTGAACATGTTTTGTTCCTTTTTTTTTTCCTCTAAAACTATAGGTATAAATTACTAAGGTATTCCAAGGAGCGTCAGTACATCGATGGGTTGAACAATTTAATATATAGGCCAAAAATACTGGTTGATAGGTTGTATACAAACATATCTGTAAACCTCATGCCAGAGTTAGCTCCAATCGAAGACTATTAAAAGAAATGGCTGTCGTGGCAAGATAGACCACAATGCTGGATCATAAACTTGGAGCGCACTCTTAGTGGAGGTCAGCGATTGGCTGTGTCACAGTGCCCTTTTCCTTGAGAAGAGCCAGCAGTCCTCAATGTTTACAGAGTGGGACTATATACAGTCACCCTTCTCTCACCCGTTCTCCCTGCTCTGAGACACACCCCTATGGCGAACATCGCAGAAACTGGAAGCCACTACTTAAGGTTGGAAGTTAAGAGAGCTCCCTATGAAGAGAAAAATTTTTATACTAAAATCTATAATTTAATTCAAGAGAATGCTTTTATTTCCGTTTAAACATATTTTGTATATATGTGATATAAATTAATGTGTGCAAATTGTTGAAAAATTAGATGTGTTGCAGTTTTGCATGTAATCGGTTATACCTTTATTGGACTTTTATAGACATTTTTTATTTGCATGAAAAAAAAACTCACTAAATTTATGTCACTAAACAAAGGTTAACCCTTGTGTGAAATGAAGGAACTGTCAATAATTGACAGCCAACTAATACAGTAAACTGTTATACTAGTTTTGAGCTTTAGACCTCAGCCTTTTGTGTGGAAGAAGTCACAGCTTTCTTAGGCTTTAAAGGGAAAGAAGAAAGGACTTAAACAGCTTTTCTTCCTACCGGGATTACCTATGTTTTTCCTTGCTTGCAATTTCATCTGATTTTGCTAGAAATCACAACCATATTGTTTATGCATATTGCATGAGTATTACCAAGAAAATCTTAAAAGTTGTGGTGTGACATGATATAAAGGACCTCTTTATGTTAAATGTCTTTCATGTATCTCTGGTGTGTCAGGGATTTTGTGCCTCAAAAAATGTTTCCAAGGTTGTGTGTTTATACTCTGTATTTTTTTTTAATTCACAGTGAACAGCACTTTTATTATTTCCAGTTCAGAAGAGCCAAAAAAAAGTATCTTCATTTAAAAAGAAATCAAGTCAGTTTTTTTAAAAGAATGATCTATGGAAGAAAACCCAATAGTGCTTATAATATACAAATGAATTATACTATTAGATAAGAATTAAATATTCTATTTTTATGAAGATAAATACTTAGTAGATAAAAACAAATTTTAAGTTTAGTTCTCAGACAGAATTTCACTTTTGGAGGGGACCCTTGAATGTTAGTTTCATTCAAATTATATTTTGTTTTTTTCACTTTTAAGAGATTATATCTCTGGTATTAATTACTAAAATTTTCTTTCTGAAAGTATAATTTAATAGAATTATCTTAAAATACATGATCAGTTATTCAGTGTGCTGATACTATTATGTCTTCTATTTGTAGTATCTAAAAAGTATAATTTAATAGAATTATCTTAAAATACATGATGAGTTATTCAGTGCACTGATGCTATAATGTCTTCTATATGTAGTATCTTATATGTTTGCATGACTGTCAGGGCTTTGTCCAGTTATCTTCATATGACTGTTCTCTGAAAAAAGGTCTTACTACCTGATATCAAGTACATATCTTAATTTTGGATGAACTTTTCCACAGTAAAGCCAAACGGTATTTTTTTTTTTAATTAGCAATTGTAAAGATTCTTTAAAATATCTTGATATTTTCACAGATTTTAAACAAAAAATTAAATATCTATAAAATGAATCTTCAACAACAATGATGAACAATAAAAATCTATATATGAGAGACGTTTGGATAATATTTGTTTGCCTCAAGGATTGTTTACCTAAAACAGAACTATGGTATTTATCTCAGATTGTAAGTTTTATTTTAAAGTGTCATTTTTATGGCAATATTGATAACACAAATGACCACAAACTAAATCATAAAATAATTGAATTCTTACACTTTGAGAAAATGGATAGTTATAATACCAAACAAAATATTTTCATATCTCTTAGAGCTATTTCCAAAATATTTATATTTCAGGTTTTTTTGTGGTAGTCAAAATAATGAAAAATCAAACCTTCTGAAAATTACGATATTTGTACTTAATTTGTGTATCAGTTCATTTTCTGTTTCTATTACATAGTTTTTAAAGTCAATGAAAGATTGAGAATGTTAACATTTGTTGATCAATGTGGAGCTGTCCACATTCGGTATCTTTTCATTTTTATATATATTTTACAGTTTCAAGAAAACTTAGTACTACTAGTATCTGCCTTATTTTCTTAAGTCTGACGTTAATTTTTGTTTCAGGAGTGAGATATAAACACTTTTCTTTTTTTCCGTTTTGAATATGGTTTTTCATCTCGTGAAAACCACCTAATTAGTTTGCTTTTTGTTTGTTTGGTTTGCTTTTTTAGTGTAGACCTAAAATTACTTCTGCCTATAAACGGTGACCTTAATATGTTTCTGTAAGTGACAGAACTGTGCCCATTTATCTTCATTATATGACAATAAATTATTACATAAAGATTAACAAATATATTGCAAATGCAAATTATCTTCTTTATAGTATGTTTGGAGGATTTATTAATGAGCATATATTGATTGCCTATTCCATATCCAGTGCGATGCTAGGTATGTCTATGGAAAGAGTATTATTACTTCATTTCTAAACAAATGAAGTCAAGCAAATTGAGATCTTTCTGAAATTGTGAAGACATCCTCTGATAACTTATCTGTTGTATTTCCTAGTGTCAAAGTCAAGAAACCCGTATATGTGGACTTAGGGCTACTAGGAGGTCCCTGTGGCACTAACTGGGAAAATTACATGGTGCTTTTCAACTACAGAAAGAAGTAATGACTAATGGGCCTGTCTGTAGAGAAGAAAAGGAAAAGAGTACACATTTGCTGTAACATGATATCTAATTCACAGTGGAGATAGTTAATTTTTTGCCAAAACTAGGGTTTTATGAGTATTTTTTAAATCTACATTTAAGTTTTTGTTCTTGTGAAAAGGTATTCAGTAACAAAACTTTATAATATTAAGTAGATACAGTTATGTATTAAAAACTTCCTTATATACCCTTTTGCCAGCCAAGATACTGATACCTGTTTTAAAACAAAGTGGAAAAATGTCCAATACAATATTCTCTTTCTGGAGGCTTCCTACAAGTGAAAGCAGATTTTGTCATTTTATTTGGCCTTTGCTTGTCTTTGATATATTTCTTTATGTGTTTTTCAAATAAATACTATTCTCGATTTATTGTCTTGGATTTGCAAGTATGCCAGTTGAGAGAACTAAAATGGTCGTAGTACTGTTTATCAGAAAGAGGAAGTGTACTTAAGATTATTTTATTTATTTAGATGAAAGGCTTCTACATAAATGCACTGAAATACATGCTAGTAATTTCTTGTATCCCACTTTTCTTCTTTTTTTGCTTCTCATGGAAATGTTTGTACTTTTTTATCATTGTCTTTTATGAAATATAATGTTCTAAAGACTTTGTGTGAAGATGTAATTATTTTCCTCTCAGGAACTTTTTTGGGTTACCTGGGATTTTTGTTTGTTTGTTATCCCAAATTTTAAATGAATTATTGGTGAATATCTTGGTTGACACTAGGGTTGCAATGTAAGCATAAGGTAACCACAGCTTAAATACATTTGGAGATCACTTTATTCCTTTATCTCAAAAGGTAGTATTTAAGTATTTTTCATTAGTGCAACAATTAGTAATCTACTATATCAAGATAAATATTTAAGAATTCATTTTAGGATAAATTTTCTTCTCCCTGCACAACTTCAATACATTAACTTGGTGTGTTATGCTCAGTTTACTACGTGTTTTTCAGGTATCGATGATTTTTAAGGTAAAGACCCAAATCTCAAAAATACCTAGGGACTAGATTTGTATTTGAGACTAGATTGTGAGATCATGAGTTTTATCAGCTATTTGTGAAATGAATTGTAATTACTTTATGTATAATATGATCTATAGGGATATTGTCACTGCATGTCACAACTAAAACCAGACATTAAATCATAATTATTTAAAGCCATGAAATTTAGCTTAGTCTGCCCCACCTATGGTATTAATGTGTCCTCTGGTGAAGACATAGTAACTTCATTTAATGATGATATGTGTGTGTGTGTGTGTGTGTGTGTGTGTGATTATTATATATTTTGTATATATGATCATTATATATACCTCCTTGATATCCTATATATGTACACACACACTATACACATACACACTTTTTGTGCTATCTTTAGACAAAGATTCAAGGTTGTTGGGTATCTTCTGGACCAAAATATTATTTAGAGAAGTCTGTTTTTAAGGAGCATGCACTGTGTTGCTCTTGATTTAAATGACTTCAGAAAAGTGATTTGCCACTCAAGTATACAATGAAAAGAAAAAAAGCAGTGTGAAAAATAAAACTTGCATTTTTCTCAACACATTCCCCTAACAGATTTTGGTTGCATGCCCTTGCTAATATAATTTTCCCAATTTTATCGGTTTAAGTGTGTGCTCTGAAGGATCTTGAGAGGTATCAGACATTACCTACCTTCAAGGAGTTTACGTCTTCTGTGTGTAAAACTGATGTAGCGGAAACACCTGAAGAATCATATGCCATCAAATGAGGGGCTCATTTCTGTCCTTTGCAAACGTTGGTTGTCTGTTTCACTAATTGAGGATCTTTGTAGGAGCAGCTTTTCTCCAGCACGTATTTCTCAGCTATAAACATGTACTTCAGAAGGAGTTGTTGAGATAATTGTTCTTTTGCAATAGACCTTAAAAATTTGCTTAAGGATTTTGCATAAAGTGGGCTCTGCCGAAGGTGGGGATTAGAAGCAAATACTGTGGAATTTTTACTTATAATTTAGACTGATCTGAGTTTGAATCCAGGGGTCCTCTGCCATTATCTGTGAAACATTAACACATTTTCAAACGTCTGTTGTCCTCAGTTTCCTGTTCTCTCAATCAAGGATGATGTTCTGCCTGAGGATAATTCAAATGATTAAAAATAAGCTAACTCTAGTAGAGCACTCAGTGCCACTGTGTCAGTGCCTGACACAGGGAACAAAAACTTGGCTCATATTGTCAGTTTTTCAGCTTTAGGTTAGCAAGCTTTTCTTTCATGCACATTCTTGGCTTATATTTAAAGAATGATACTGCATTCTTTAATTCAACTAGAAAATGAAGTCAGTGATTACCCTGTATGGGATCATATATGTGAACAATTAGTAAAACTGCAAAAGTGTACAATTGAAATTTGTCAGTAATAGTCATAAGAAGAAATGTAGCAAATGGGAATCAGGGTCCCTTTCCTCACTGGGTTGTGTGGTTTTAGATGGCATGGAAAGTGCACATTGTAGTTCAAGGAAGGCATTTAGTAACTCAGAGCTTCTCCCAGTATCATACTGGAAGAAGTCAAATATCCCCGATGTGCTGGAGTCCGTGCTCTCTCTCTCTCCAACCTTGGCTTTTGAATTTGACTTTTCATACATATCTGCAGTTTCCTTGGAAGGTCCTTCCTTTGCCTTCCACTCGCCCTCTCTCTTTGGATCAATACTCACTTTTAATGGTGTCCAATGGAATGTTTTGTGATGATGAAGATGTTTTACGTCCATGCTGTCCGACGTAGTCGTCACTAGCCACATGTGGCTCTCAAGCATTTGAGATGTCAGTAGTAAGGGTAAGGAACTCAATTTTTGATATTGTTAAATTTTAATCAGTGAAATGCAGCAGGCAATCTCTTGTACTTCTAGAGCTTTAACTCCATGGACCCACTAAGTATGTACAGGAAATTCCTAAGCCTTTATCTCCAGCTCGGAATTGTTATTAGCATCTGACTCATTATCAATTTATTGGTCATCCCCACCTGTTTGTTCACAGAAACTTAAAATTCACCAGGTCCTTAGGTAAATGTATCAAATTCCTCTGCAAAACCTAGTCTTTTCCGGTATTCCCATCCCCTTAGCAAGTCTAGGCATGAATCTGAGTCATCCTCCCTTTTTCTCCTCCCCATGGTTAACATTACCTTTTAATTCTCTCTTCAATCTGCCTGGGTCTTTTGTTTCTTCAACAGCTGCCCAAAACCTTCCCAGTCTGTTTGTTTGTTTGTTTAAGATAGGGTCTCACCGTATTGCCCAAGCTGGACTCAAACTCCTGCACTCAAGTGATCCGCCTGCCTCACTCCATCTTTTCTCACTGCAAGGATATATCTTATTCTTTGACTCCGTTTTCCATATTGCCACATAAATTGTCTCTTGAAATGCCACCTTGCCGAAAATCTTCCTGGGGCTTTCCACCAACTACGGATAAGGTCCAGGTGTTTCTGCTTCTCATACGAGGCCCTTCATGATCTGAATTCTCCTTGCCTCTCCAGGACGGATAGCTCACCTCTCTCCTGTTCCATTCTTTCCATTCCTTAGCTACCTATGGGCTGCTCCGAGTGGCCTCTTAACCGTTGCCTTTGTACACAATCTTCCCTATCTTATCCACCAGAGAATCTACTACATAGCTTTATTTATTTTTATTTTTATTTCTTTGAGACAGGATCTGGCTTTCTTGCCCAGGCTGGAGTGCAGTGGCACCATCTTGGCTTACTGCAACCTTCTCCTCCCAGGTTCAAGTGATTCTCCCGCTTCAGCCTCCTAAGTAGCTGGGATTACAGGCACATGCCACGACACCCAGCTAATTTTTGTATTTTTTTGTAGAGAAAGAGTTTCACTATGTTGCCCAGGCTGGTCTCAAGCTCCTCAGCTCAAGTGATTGCCTGCCTCGGCCTCTCAAAGTGCTAGGATTACAGGTGTAAGCCACCAAGCTTGGCCTACACACCTCTTTGACTCAGTAAGCTCCTCTGGAAGCCTTCTCTGGCCAACCAGTTTGCCACTCTCTCCTTTCACCTCTGCCCACAGTACCTAAACGCTATTAAAAGCATGGCTTACACTGTTGCATGTGTTTGATTAACAGATTTTGTTTTCTCCCAAAGACTGCTAACTATCTGAGAATAGCAGTGTCTTATTTATTTTTGTATTTCTAGCATCTGGCATAGTACTCAATGCATGACTGAGTCTGTCAGGGGAACACTTTGCCCTCTTAATTAGGGAAGAACTAAATGGCATTCTAAATTACTGTTTTATTAAAACATATACCTCATCAGGAGATCGAGACCATCCTGACTAACACGGTGAAACCCTGTCTCTACTAAAAAATACAAAAAATTAGCCAAGCGTGGTGGCAGGCGCCTGTAGTCCCAGCTACTCGGGAGGCTGAGGTGGGAGAATGGCGTGAACCCGGGAGGCCGAGCTTGCAGTGAGCCGAGATCGCGCCGCTGTACTCCAGCCTAGGCAACAGGGCGAGACTCCGTCTCAAAAAAAAAAAAAAAGAAAAAGAAAAAAAGCCATATACCTCATAGTTGATTATGTTAGGTAGGATCAGTATCTTCATTAGGACTATTAAAGGCCGTTGTCAAAATGTGTGACACACCTGTGAATAAATCTGAATAGAGAGCCCAGCTCTTTTATACTCAATATAGTTTTAAAATTAAAAGATATCTTCTAAGTCAGTTGATAGAGGTTAGTATGTAAGAGAAAAAATAGCAAAGAATTCATTGCCAAGATCATTTTTATTGTTTTTTTAAAAAATCAAACATGAAAAGTGAAGTCACCCTTCCCACAAAATATACAGTGTTATGTGACCCTAATATTTTGATGAAAGATTATATTTAAAGAATGATACTGCATTCTTTAATGCAACTAGAAAATGAAGTCAGTGATTACCCTATATGTGATCATGTATGTGAACAATTAGTAAAACGGCAAAAGTGTACAATTGAAATTTGCCAGTAATAGTCATAAGAAGAAATGTAGCAAATGGGAATCAGAGTCCCTTTCCTCACTGGGTTGTGTGATTTTAGATGGCATGGAAAGCACATGAGAGCAGATTGTGAAAACACCTATTTGGCTTATCAAAGAGAAAGTGTTAATTTATCTCTGGAGTGTAGTTTTCATCTGAGGTAGTTTTAGCAATGTGTCTAGTTAATTTCCAAGGATTATTAGATGTTCTTCACACAGTTCTCCCTCCCCTTCCACCCTTCTGTTGCCTGCTTTTCTTTCTCCCTTCTTCTCTTCCACCACCGTCTTTGTCAGAATCAGTAACAATCATGATGGCTATTAATTCTTCGTTAAATCCTGTTGAGTGTTTTTGTTTCAGCAGAACAGGGTCACTATGGTAACTAGATTCCCCTTTTATTATGCTTTTTCCCTTGCCCTTGGTATGAATGTCATTTTGCATAGGGTAATTATGCAGCCTTTTAGCCTATTTAGCAACTCGGGTAGCCTTGTCTTTATTCTAACACCAATAATTTTTTGTCATTTATTAACACACTACGTCTCAGCATTGTGCTTAGTCTTGGGGGAATGGGGGTAAATGAGATACAGTTTTTTTCCAAGTAGCCCATAACCAAGAAAGGGAGATGCTTGCCATGGGCTTCTCAAAAG